CAAGGTCGTGAGTTCGGTTCCCGGTACCGGAGAAAAATCGAAAAAAAAAACCAAAAAAAAAAAAAAAAAAACTACCCTCAATGGAAACCTAGTGGAAGAATTCAAGGGAAAAAGACTTTTCTGGTACAGTGATACCTCGGTACTTGTCGTTAATTGTTCCAGTAGGTGTGATGAGTGTGAGACAAAATTTTCTTTTGTGTCAAAATGTGTCAAGTACCGAGCTGATGAGTTTCACAGAGTCAAGTACTGAGATGTACCTGTGCATACGTAGTAGAAGTATTTTCCAAGCTGCAAGGCCAGCAGTTAGTATTCAAGTGGTAAATGAAATCTCACAGGAGCACCAATATCTCCACAGTATTACCTGTTCCCTCTTACCCATAATTTTCAGTGGCTTTTTATTTTTATGTTATTACAAATTAAACCCAGAACCTGCATGTGCCAGGCAAGTGTTCTGCCACTGAGCTACACCTGACCCTTTTTTTATTTTAAGGTAAGGTCTAAGTTGCCCAGATTGGCCTTAAACTTGCAATTCTCTCTCTCTTGTTTTTTTGGTACTGGGAATTGAACTCAGGACCTTGTGCTTGCCAGGCAGGCATTGAGCTATACGCCTGGCTCGTTGCAATTCTCTTGCCTCAGCCTCCCACACAGCTGTTATTACAAGTGTGTGCCACCATGCTTGGCTTCTATTCCTACCCTTTTTGGAGGCTTAAGACAATGACTTTGTGTAACGCTTGATACATGGGTCGGCTTCATATTGTGCAATGACTTGTCTTTTATGTTCCCCAAAGCAACCAAGCAAACTAATGTCTGCTCACAAGCGTGGCCAATCTAATGCACAGCTGGGCATCTTGGTACATGCCAAAAACTTCAGAGGCTGAGACAGGAGGATCACAACTTCAAAACTTGCTAGGGCAACTCAGCAAGACCCGTCTCAAAATAAAATAAAAAGAGCTGGGAATTTAGCTGTGGCGGAGTGTTCGCCTAACATGTGCAAGGCCTTGGGATCGAGTCCCAGCACCACCCCCCACCCCCACCCCTAAGGTGCTATGCTGAATTTCCAGACTGGAGATTATGAGCTGTGGTTTGGAGGAACTGCTGTATTTTAAATTTAGAGCCCTGGATTGATTTTTATTAGTTAATATAGCTTTAACAGCAGTAGAAACTATTAATAATTTCTCCCCACAAGAAAGCCACAAGCTGATTGTGGTTTCATACACCTGTAATCCTAGCAGTCGGGAAGATGAGGCAGGAAGATCGATGCAAATTGGAGGCCAGCCTAAATTATACAGGGAGACCCTGTTTAAAAAAAAAGACCTAAAAAGCAAGCCAGCCTGCAGTTGGCTCTTCAGCTGTGGTGACGGCCAGCAGCAAGCCCCCCTGGAACGGACTGGGCCAGTGATGCCGAGCCTTTCAGAGCTTTCAATGATAGCAACCAGCTGCTTGTGGCACGTGTGGCACAGCTTTGCCGTCACAGGACTAGACTCTAGAGCAAACCACTGGCTTTGCTCCCCAGGGGACCAACTCCTGTGTCTTGGTTCCCTTCCAGCAGACTCTGATTGGATAACCGGAAGTTCTTAGCACACTAGAGTCATAACTGGTCCAAGACTCCCACGCACATGCCTCTGAATGCTTCTCCTGCAGGCTCTGCCTGGGCACGACTCTCACCCGACTCTCTTACTCTGGCCTGGCTCTGTCCACCTGTTCCTGGGCTGTGCTCGTTTCTCTACCATCCTCTCCTTTTGCTATAGCTCCTGGCTCAAGTCTCGCTGTGTCTATCAAGTCTTCCCTGACCATTCACAGTGACCTCGTGCCCCGAGCCTTCTAGGAATGATATTGTAATTGTGCTGGAGAACACCTTGTCCTTTCACACGTGTTTGTCTTTTCTCTCCAGCTCGATGGTATCTAAGCTCTTTGGGGAGACCTTGGGACACCCTAGCCTTCCAAGTAGAGGGTTGGATAACCATAGGAAGAGCTCAAGTGTTTACAGCTGGGACTGTATGACTGACACCTCACAGAAAAATTTAGACCACGACAATGTCAGATTATACAGACATACATTTGCAAAGTGACCAGGTCAAACGCGCTCACTGAAACCCTAAGCCTGCGAATCCTGTCTCCGTAAACCCTACTGTTATCTTTGATACATCCCTGTGCCCAGGGAAACTCTTGTAGATAATGCAGTCTGGACATGAGGACTCAGGAATCAGTGCCCAACCCAGTCATCGAAGAGAAACAGTGAGGTCATCAGAATACACCAGGTTGTCTGTCATCCCTCGTACAGGTGACAAGCCCATGCGTGCCGGCAATGCGGGGGAGTTACACCCGAGACTGCACAGACCAACCAGGTCAGGATCATCCGGAAAGTCTCCGGCAGTGTCCAGGAAGAGTCAGCCAGGGGTCCTACCTTGTAGCAAGAATGTTCCTCATCAACATGCACCTTTTAGGACCTCTCCTTCCACACCCCATTAGACCTTCTTTTTAAAAAAAATTTTATCTCCCCCCTGCTGCATTATTCCTAAAAATGCATTCAAGGGGATTTTTTTCAGAACAGAAAAGACAGGGTCCAATATCTCCATCAGCTGAGTTAGCCCTTGGCTCACTACACTTACAGAATAAAGAAAAAGACAATAAACAAAAAACAAACAAAACAACCCCCGAACAACAGAAAAACGTCCATCTCTCCCTAAAGAAGTTGTTGTCTATTTTGAGACTCCTACTCTACTGGTGGAAGAAGTAGTTGAATCAGAAAGCAAAGTCACTGATGTTTCCAAAGTATCAAGGTTAGAAGCCAAGCTGCAGAGCGGGAGACTTCCTGGCAACACCACTGTCCTTGTCAAGGTGTACGGAAAGACAACTGGTACCTACGGGACTGAAACAGCAGCCTGGCCTTTTCACCTCAGTCCCTCTCCCTCTGATCACATCTGTTCACACTGCTCTGGGAGAAAATCCAGCTAACCTATGAGATAATCTGGGATACTGTTCTGGCAGGAGGAGGCAGTGACAAAGGGGGTGGATCTGAAAGGAAAGAGGACTAGATTCCTTCTTGGGAACTGCTGCCCCACCCCCATCTTGTGGACCTAGCTCCCCAGTCAGGGTGGTTCTGGCATAAGGAGACAAGTGGGAGCGAGCCAAGAGTCCTGAGGCGTATTGTTTGGCTTTGCCACTCCCGGCCTCCTCTGGTCCGCTCCCCTTGCATGTGGACTGGAGAGAGGGACTCACCACAGGTTGAGCATTTTCAGGCAGCTACAGAGTATGTAGAGAGAAAAACACAGGAAGAGAGAGAGAGAGATATTAGTCCACGGAGATGAGATGGACGCAACTCCCTGTGAGCCATGCAAACATGCAGTACGTGTCTGTGTTTAGTTTCTTCCTGTTGAGGAAGGGTGAGATCCCCACGGTAAAGTGGAGGGGTGGGAGGGGGATCTCAGGGGAGTCAACAGAAGGACTGAGGGGAGCACTCAGCATGGCCTTTCTGGCAGCTTCCTGGAAGGACCCTGCCGGTGTGAGTAGTCAAGCATCAAGCTCTTTGAACTCTTTGGGTCCCACATGATGTCCTCCGTGCAGTGCTCATACCCCTGTAGTCTGAGGGAAAAAGAAGCCCCTAGCTTTCTACAAGTCCACTATGGCTGACCAAAGTAGCTAGTAGTTAGCTCTTCCTCTAAAGGCAAAGGCTCAGGAGACACTTTATCTCATCAGAAGATGAATCAGAGGGAGGAGGACCCTTTCTCCAGGTATGGCTGTCAAAGAAGGATCTAGATCCTCTTCTTAGCACTCAGGAGAAATGAGGTTCACATTTGATAAATTATATTTAAAATTCAGATAAGTGAAATTCTTATGGTCTTACTATAACAAAAATCAACCAAAAAGCTACCCGTCCTCACTAACCTTTCAATTTAACAAGGACAACCTTCCAACTAAACTAGAGACACATTTTGTACACACAGCAAAAACTAAAACCCTGCTATTTCCTTCCACCTTCCACAGAACAAGCTGGACGAGAAATCTAGTACCTAACACTCAGAAGCGAAGATTTCTGTCTCCCCAGTATCCAAGCCAAACCGCAATCGCCAACAGCCCCCTCACCCCGCAGACAGGCTGCACGAACACATGGCATCACAGCTGCGGACAGTGAGGGGCAGACTGGGGTCCCTCATGCTCCTCTAGCTGTGACTTCTTGCTATGAACATGATCAAGCAAGTGGACACGTGGCTACCCCCACTTGATCTCAGAAGGCCAAGAACAATACATGGAGGTACCTGCCAGTTTCCTAGGCAAGATGAGCTGGCGGCTCACGAAATCAGCAGGGGGCATGGCACACCGAATGCTGCACGCTTTTGCCTAACATCTGATCAAATGCAACTGCTCCCTTCTGGTTTCTGCACCTTTCAGAAGGCCCCAACCTGGAGCTGGTGGCCAAGAGGCACAGTGGTCCTTCTTGCTGAAGGAAAGCCTTTCAACTCTTCTGACCGGCTAGAGTTACATTACACCAGAACAAAGTACACCAGACTGAACTCTGTGTGTCAATGGCCCCCTATCTCACACACAGGACACAAATACCACACTCACACACACAATTAGTACACATTTACCAAAATGAAATGAGATGAATGCGTCCAAAAAGTAAACTTGTTTAGTGCATATCGGAAGACTAAAGCCTGTTTGATCTTGGTATTCAAAGTAGACTCTAAACCCAGAACTGAACTTCTAAAAGGTAATACGTGAACTTGAACTGTGAGTCGGGCAGGTGTGAGAGTACGGAAGGCTGTCTTTCAAGAAGAGACCCTGTGCAGTAGTATAGTGGTTCTCCACCCTGGTTGCCTATTAGAATTACCTGACCTTTAAAATCTTTTGAGGTTCAAGCCACCCACCAATAAATTCAACCAGAATCTCTGGGACAATGCATAGGTGCCTGTATTTTTTTTAATATGCCCAGGTGACTCCGCAGTACAGCCATGGCTGTGAGCCCACAGAGCAGGACCACTGTACTCTTTACTGGGGAGAATGAATACCATTAAAATCTCCAGAGTTCCCTGAGAACAGGGAAAAGGTTTCCTTACTAAAAATGCCCTCCTGCTGGTCTCCCTCACAGGCCACCCAGAAGAGCACCTGAAGCTGCCGACGGGCAGCACGGGTGCCAGGGGAGACAGTCCAGGTGATCCTGGGCCTTTCATCTGCTGAGTGGAAATCCTCAAGCCCTGACTTTCCAGGGAAAAGACTTCCTGAAGGCGATGTGAACTCACCAGACAGACGGGTGGGGGCGCGCACTGAGCACAGCCACACCAACTGCACCCGACACGAGGTCTCGGCAGGCCTCTTCCTGATCTGCAGGCTGCCTCAGGCTGCGTTCAGGCTACGTGGGGATTTGGGAAGCCACTGAGGGTGAAGTGTCACACTGCCTGTTTCAAAGGCAAGTTACTGGGACGTCCTGAACGTTCTCAAAGGTCTCCCATAGCAGGGATGACCAACAATTACTCACGATGTCCCTGTCTCTCCCTACCTGACAGCTACATCTCAGTTTGGAATGGGGAAAAGGGGAAAGAAGTAGAAATGCTGCTTTTGCGGGAGAATCGTTAATTATTTCACCTTCCACCCCGGATTCTAGGAGTTTAAACACAGACCATGCGGAGAGCACCATGGGGCCAGTGGTATATGCAGGGCAAGACACACACATGCAGAGAAGCAGGAAGGGTGTGAGGTGACCGCCTCACCTTCTTTGGATTAAGGTTGTCCTTTCTTTCCTTCCCAAGACTCACTCACAGATGCAGACTGTTTTTTTGCCTGACTTATTTAGTCTGAGTCCAGAATCATTCAAGAAAGAGAAAGAGAGACAGCAAAATGGCCCTGAGACCCTTGTTCCAGTGCTATACAGCCAGAGCTGTTGGCCAACAACCAGAAAGTTAATGCCACTCAGCACGACCCATAGTTTTGTCTCTGCCTCCCACAGGGAGTAAGAAGCTCCAGGGCCTCAAGAGGCTCATGGCTTCCATTCACCGTAGCTCTTGTAATTCTTTTAGTTTATTTACTAAGTCTTCTGTCTGGTGTAGTCTAGCAAAGTGAGACTATCTTTCCAGAAATCCAGCTAAAGAAAGGCAGCAGCAGCCGTAAGGTACCATGCAAAAGACAAAACAGTCAAAGGAAGAAGCTGTGGACACAAGCATGAGGAATCCAGTCTGAGATGAGCCGTACACAGAGAAGAGACACAGAAGATTTTTCAATCCATGACCCAAGAGCTCCCTTGAAAGGCGAACGTACTTAGCTTCCTCCACTACCTCCACCTCAGCATGAGCGGTGATTGGTGCATTGGAGTGGGCTCCTGCCGTGTCGTCAACATTCAGCTCTCCATTGGTTGAGCTAATCACCTGAAACAGAAGGACAGACTGTGACAAGCGCCATGGCAACACGAGGATCCTGTGGGCACGAGAGCAGGTCACTTAAGGGAGATCTCTAGCTTAGGACTGGCCTGGCAGGACCTGGGATGTTTGTTTTCTTGGGTTAAGAGGTGAACTGTCCTAATTTAGGGAAGGTTCCCAGACTCTTACCATGTGAGAATACAGAATTCAAAGGTATAATCACAGAACGATGATTCTATCTTCCATACTGAGTGACTACTTTGTGTCAGACACTCTGCTAAACATTGTATGTGTGTATAAAAATTCAACCTTCACAAAAAAACCCTGAAATAGCACCTGTCACTTTCTTTTTACAGATAGAAATGCTAAGAAATGACTCAAGCAAGGGTTAAATTAAAGTCTAGGGACTTCCATGAGGAAAACTTCTAAAAATAGATTTTTTTCATGCTGCAAAAATGTGTACAGTATTTTTGTTTTAATTTAAAGTAACTGCACTGCTGACTTCTAAAGGTAAAATCACTTTGCTCTTTTGCATACGGTGGGGAAATTCTACTCAGTTTATTATGCTGTAAGTATATGGACTCAGTAATGACAGCTTAAAAAAAAAAAACCTCTGAAAGCCGGGCCGGGTGGCATACTCTTTTGACCCCAGGACTGTGAAGGCCCCAGGAGGATCCCAAGTTTAAGCCCAGCTCAGGCAACTTCGCAAGACCCCACCTCAAAAGTAAAACAATAAAGGTCTGGGGATGTAGCTCAGTGCAAGGGCTCTGGGTCAATCCTCAGAACTGGAAAAAAAAAAATCTGAAAAAGGAAACAAAAACTGTGCATCAGAAAGTAGAAAGAATCACGCTTTCCTTCAGAAATGGCTTTGTGGCTCTCATTACTGAAGTTACTCAAACAACAACACTGCCACGTCCTCTCTGGCGAGAGGGAAAATGGTTCGGAAACACTTTCCTTTGGAAAACCAGTCTTATTTCAACGACCTTTATTTCAGGCTCATTGTCATCCCACTTCTCAGTGATGGTCCCCGAACTGTAAGTGGAGGCTCTCCTGTCATCTGGGTAATGTGGACCCGGTCATGCTTCTCTTGCTTGTACAGCTGCTTCAGTCACCTGGTTTCATTTCCAGTACATGATTCCTGATTTATGTGGGTGCTGGGAAGTGGGAAAAGAGACCCCGCTGGACAAACCATTCTGCTGTTAAAGACCTTGGCTGAAACATGGGAGAGAACCATAGAATAGGATAAATGGTTCAAAAGGGATATCCTTGGGTAAGTAGCTTCTGTTTGAGTCTGTTCTTACGGATTTTGAGAATTACACAAGGAACCTATGAGCTGCGGACATACAACATGCCTTCTCCAAAGGCTGAGTAGGGGGATCACAAGTCTGAGCCTAGCCTGGGGAACTTTGTGAGACCCTCTCTCAAAAAGGGCTGGAGATGTAGCTCAGTTTTAAGGCCCTTGGTTCAACCTCCAACACACACACACACACACACACACACACACACACACACACACAGGGGAAAATCCAGTGAAGATAAAAAGTTGAGGAGACAAGGTTTAGAACAGAGAAGAGAGAACTGCCCTAACACTATACCGGTTTCCTTAGGACTACGTTTGCTTCCTGTGGCCACATTCTGACTGCACATCAGTATTAACACTGAGTTCATTTTGTGAGCACAAGAGTTACAGGGGAAAAAAAAAAATCAGTATGTTTTTAAATAATTCAGAAACTAGCTAAGATTTATATAAAATTACTTCTACCCCCCCACAACCTTTTTTTAAAGAGGTACTGGTGATTGATCCCAAGGCCTTTGAGTTCCATCTCTGATAGGGTTTCACTAAATCTTCCTGAACTGGCCTCCTGCATAGCTGGGACAGATGCTAAAATTGTACCCAGTTATACACAACTTCTTAGCTTCTACTACATGCGTGAAGCAGAAGTGTCACCGTGAGAATTACCTGGCGACTCTGAGTCATGGTGTCTGTTCACAGTGTTTCATACGGCTTGTACCTTCTCATTTCTCCTCCTCATGAACTACTACTCTACCATAAGCCATGTCCTTAGGCACTCACAGGAAGAGACCACCCCTATCTTACGGAATAGACATCTGCACCACTGAACACCTGATCTCAAATGACTCCGGCACAGACGGAAACTGTATCACCAGTTATCCGCCCATAAACTCTAAGTGCACCTAAAACATGACTCAGGGCTAGTGGCTACAACGCTGGGCCTTTACAGCATCACAGAATTATTTCAAGTTGGAGGTAGTTTGCCAAACCACTGCACTGCTGTCTGGATTTGCACTGGAACAAACACTACTGTGACAGAAAGCTAGATTCCAGGCCTAGCTCTAAAATCAACATCTTCTGTGAGGCCTGTTTTCTGATTCCGTAAGACAGGGCAAATAGCCTTATTCTTATATTAACCTCATAATTACTCAGTTAAGTTCAAAGAGGTCTAGGTAAGAGACCTGAAAAAGTGTAAAAACCTTATGAATGCAGGGCTGGGGATATAGCTAAGTGGCACAAGTGCCTGCCTGGCAAGTGCAAGGTCCTGAGTTCAATTCCTCGTACCCACAAAAAAAATGAAATAAAATGTCAGAAATATTCTTAAAAACAAAAACCTTATGAATGCAATGAAATATCTGTCTATCTATCTATCTATCTCAGTTCACACACTCAATTTTCTCCATGATTCTGGCTGCAAACCAAACTGGACAAGAACCAAATCAAATTTCCCTATAAAGTCAACATTGAACCTAAACATTGAATTTGATTTAGTTCTCATCCAACTCAGTTTTTGACCAGAATCAGAAAGAACTGAGTCCTTGAACTGAGGCACCACTGTACATATGCACACATATTTGCACAGGGTCTCACTATGTTGCCCAGGTTATTCTCACAGTCATGGGCTAAGGCCTCCCAAGTACCTGGCGTTAACACCCATGCTAGCGTGTCCAGCCTGAATTACTATTCTAAATATAGCACTGTTGTAATTTTGCTTTTTAATTTTTAGTGTAACTTTGTCCAGAAATATGATTTCTTGAGGAGAGGAGGTAAAAAGATAAATAAAAAAGAATTAAGATGTGTTAGGTCCAAATAGTAACTCCCCATGATGAATGCAATTACTATATACTACAAACATGTACTAATTAAAAATTTTTGAAAAAATAAAGGTAAAAAATGTATTAGCCAGGCCTGTGGACGCATACCTGTAACCCCAGCACTCTGGGAGACCAAGGTGGGAGGGCCCTAAATCTGCACTTAGCCTAGGGGAGCAAGGGGCTCAGTGATATTCTGTCTCAAGATAAAAAGGGCTTGGAGATGTAGCTCAGTGTGAATGATCCGTATTCGATCCCCAATACTGAAAAAAATTTTATTTGCATGCCCAAAATATAGACATTTATTTTGTTACAATTAATATTAATCTCACATTCTTTTGGCTATATTACACCAAACCTAAGTAATTAGTATCTTACAGGATTATCTGTAAGAAAGATCAAGGTGCAGTCCTGTTTTGACTTTTAATCCTTAATACTGGTAATAACCTTTGTAGGAATCTCAAAAATTTAAGTTATTAGTCCCACTTTTCAAAATCTCATTATGGGGCCGGAGATATACCTCAGTGGCATAGTGCCTGCCTGGCACGCGTGAGGGCACAAGTTTGATTCCCAGTACCACCAAAAACAAAAAAATGTGATTATGAGGAAAACTCAGAACTGTGTACCACAGTGCACAGCTGTAATCCCAGCACTTGGGAGACTAAGGCAGGAGGATCGCAGCAAGTTCAGGACCAGCCTGGGCTACAACGTGAGTTTAAGGCCAGCCTGAACTGCATAATGAGACCCTGTCTTGAAAGACACATTCTTAATTCCTATGCCCTTGCTGGTCCTACAGATTTCTATGATATCTCCCTATATATTTTTAACAACTTAACAGCAATCTTTTGGAAAAAGAAAAACATAGTATCTGCTTGAATTGAGGCCTTCCACACAGAGAAGCTGGAGAAAATACTGGAAGGATGCGCATCACGGATCTGCCCATTAACTAGGTTGGAACGGGAATGTTCATGTGTTTGCTCAGAGCAAACTCTCCCATCTGTGCCGTCTACGTTCCCTTTGCAGCCACAGCATTGGAGGCCATCCAGGTGAGGCCACGCACTTCATCACATGAATTCCATGGAGTGAGATGACTTGGAAGTGTGGGGCTCTGGTGAGCTAGGAAGGTGTTGCTGCTTTGGTCTGCAAAAAGCATAGCCTTTTAGGAGTTTACAAAAGTTGATGCCAAAAATAGGATAAGCCCAGAGGCAGATGTGAGGAACAGCAGAACTTTGCATGACACAGTGTCGGGGAAATGGTACCAGTATCCTCTATCCAAGCGTCAAGAAAACCGGCAGAACATAGTGTACAGAGCAGGCACACTCTGATTTGCTTGGACTTAAAAGACAGCATCTCCCACTGGACAGACAGTAAGAACACTATCTAAACGAGCACCCCTGTGTTCCAACACGTCTCCAACAGACTATCCTGTCAGGATACGCCGATGAGGTGCTTTCCTTTTAAGATTATTGTTTAAGCCAGGTGTACTGGTGCAGGCCTTTAATGTCAGCTACTCCTGAGGCTGAGGCAGGATAGCAAATTCAAGACCTGATTGCGCAACTTAGTGAGATTCTGTCTCAAAATAAAAAAAAAACAAAAAAGGCCAGGAACGTAGCTCAGCATTCCTAGGGCTTAATCTGCAGCACCCAAATCTTATCTTTGTTTTTTATAATTCTAAAGCATGTTTATTATTTTTAAAAAGTATACAACATACTTTTTTAAAAAGTATACAACTTTTTAAATATTTTTAAAAAGTAAACAACATAAAAAAGTACAAGTTTTCAGTAGCACCAGCACACAGAAATGAACAGTGAGATCACGCCAAGTCCTCCAGAGCCAGGGCTAAATAGGAAGCATTTTAGAATCTGAGAGCTGGACGATCTCTGCTCAAACTACTCAGCCCTGACAGTGCAGTACAAGAGCAGCCACAGATAGTACACGAAGAAATAAATGTGGTTATTTTCTAGCAAAACTTTACTTACACAAATAGGCTGAAGGTGGGATGTGACCCCTACGCTGTTAGTTCTCTTATCTGCTTATATGAAGAGTGTGTATCCTCAAAGACACAAATATTCTCAAATACTTATAAAAATAACTTGTGCAAGTTTTATATACTGTTTTGCAACTTGCCTTTTTCATGACATATCTTGGACACTTTCCCAAACACCCAGAGATCTACCTCTTTAAACTATACAGAATTATGGTATTTGTTTAGTTAATGTTTAGCTAATAAACATTTCGTTGCCTTTGACTTTCTGGACTTATAAAGAAGCGGGCAATAAACATTCTAGAACTGCACTGTTCACATGTGGCTACCATGCACCTGAAACAGGACTAATGCAACCAAGACACTAAGTTTTAAATACACATTAGATTTCAAAGACTTTGTAAAAAAAAAAAAGTACAATACCTCCTTAACGGTTTTTGTTTTTATTTTTTGTCTTTTTGAGACAGGGTCTCGCTATGAAGTTCAGGCTGGCCTTGAGCTCACTTTGTAGCCCAGGCTGATCTTGTACTTGCAACAGTCCTCCTGCCTCAGCCTCCTGAGTGCTGGGATTACAGGCGTGCG